TTCTCACTGCAGTGGCTTCTCTTGTTGCGGACCATGGGCTCTAGGTGCACGGGCTTCAGTAGTTGTGGCACACGGGCTTCTGTAGTTGTGGCTCGAAGGCTCTAGAGCACAGGCTCAGTGGTTGTGGTGCACGGGCTCAGTTGCTCCGCGGCACGTGGAATCTTCTTGGACCGGGGCTCAAACCCGTGTCCCCTGCATTAGCAGGCGGATTCTTAACCACTGAGCCACCAGGGAAGCCCTAAGTGTGGTTTTGAAAACAAGGCAAAACAAAACAACTCCTACTTGCACTTAAAATTCAGTCGTTTAGATAGTCTCAGCCACGCAAGAGTGCCAAATCCCAAAAGCTGTATACGTTACATGTCAAGTAACTGTGCCTCCCCAACGTAGAAAGTCTGCTATATGTCATAGCTCTCTGTAAAAAATGGATCCCCCGGGCCTTCCCTGGTGGCGCAGTGGTTGAGAGTCCGCCTGCCGATGCAGGGGACGTGGGTTCGTGCCCCGGTCCGGGAAGATCCCACGTGCCGCGCAATTGTGGTTATTTTTGAGTAGTTATTATCATTTCTCTCGTTATTTTACAAATGAGTCCTTTCAGGCAATGCCGTTTTCAATGCCTGAAAACGGCCAGCCAAATTCTAAGAATTGCCTTCAATATCCTGGGGGGATCTGGGAAGGAAACAGGCAGAAGTCAAAATATTTTATGCGTATAACATTTTGCTAAGTTAATTTAATTTTATTTTTTGCCTTATTTTTCTCATGTGTAGAATGAGACCAACAAATACTACCTCAGTTGCTCATTGTATTTATTTATTTTTGGCTGTGTTGGGTCTTTGTTGCTGTGCGCGGGCTTTCTAGTTGCAGTGAGTGGTGGCTACTCCTTGTTGTGGTGTGCTGGCTTCTCATCGTGGGGGCTTCTCTTGTTGCGGACCATGGGCTCTAGGTGCACGGGCTTCAGTAGTTGTGGCACACGGGCTTCTGTAGTTGTGGCTCGAAGGCTCTAGAGCACAGGCTCAGTGGTTGTGGTGCACGGGCTCAGTTGCTCCGCGGCACGTGGAATCTTCTTGGACCGGGGCTCAAACCCGTGTCCCCTGCATTAGCAGGCGGATTCTTAACCACTGAGCCACCAGGGAAGCCCTAAGTGTGGTTTTGAAAACAAGGCAAAACAAAACAACTCCTACTTGCACTTAAAATTCAGTCGTTTAGATAGTCTCAGCCACGCAAGAGTGCCAAATCCCAAAAGCTGTATACGTTACATGTCAAGTAACTGTGCCTCCCCAACGTAGAAAGTCTGCTATATGTCATAGCTCTCTGTAAAAAATGGATCCCCCGGGCCTTCCCTGGTGGCGCAGTGGTTGAGAGTCCGCCTGCCGATGCAGGGGACGTGGGTTCGTGCCCCGGTCCGGGAAGATCCCACGTGCCGCGGAGAGGCTGGGCCCGTGAGCCATGGCCGCTGAGCCTGCGCGTCCGGAGAGCCTGTGCTCCGCAACGGGAGAGGCCACAACAGTGAGAGGCCCAAAAAAAAAAAAAAAAAGGTTCCCCCGGCAAAATGCTCATTAGTGGTCCTAAAACCAGAAAGAGGCTTGGGCATCATCTTGTTAATCTCATTCACTTACAGATGGAGAAGCCGAGGCCCAGCACGCACGCTGCTCATCTACGCCTCCTGACTCCTGATTTGGCACTGCCTTCATGTCTCCCTGCCTGGAGACCCTGGATTTCATTACTGCAAGTGTTGGACTCCTAGAGAGATGTGACATTTGTGAAGGTGGTGATCATCTTCCTTGCCTTGCTGCCTACTTAGAAAGCATCAAATAGGAAATTGTTCAAGGTGGTGACAAAAGAGCAGCCAGGGGTCTCCCTTGACACATATACCGTGTTCCAGCAGGCAGCAAGCTCTTACAGCAGAACGAAACTCTGTTTTTGCATGAGTATGCATGTAGCGAGAAGAAGGGCCTCATCACATACATAAATAACTCAGTGAGAGAAGCTTTCTCTCCCAGGTAACCCACGCAGCAGCATGGCCTTTCGCGGATGTCGAGGTGATCCATCTAATGGTCCAGAGAAGCTATTCACACTGCCTTAGTCATCCCTGCACCTGGAGAGTCTCAATGTATTACCAAATTGCCCACTGAAAAAAATAGCACAACTCTGTCTAAAAAAGAATAAAAACAAACAGTTTAAAAACACCGGTGGGGGGCGCTTCCCTGGTGGCGCAGTGGTTGAGAGTCTGCCTGCCAATGCAGGGGACACGGGTTCGTGCCCCGGTCCGGGAGGATCCCACATGCCGCGGAGCGGCTGGGTCCGTGAGCCATGGCTGCTGAGCCTGCGTGTCCGGAGCCTGTGCTCCGCAACGGGAGAGGCCACAACAGTGAGAGGCCCGCGTACCACAAAAACAACAACAACAACAA